TAACTTGGTATGTTCCATGGAGCTAATTGCATAAAATGTATGTGTGTGTGTGTGTGTGTGTGTGTGTGTGTGTGTGTGTGTGTGTGCGTGTGTGTGTGTGTGTGTGTGTGTGTGTGTGTGTGTGTGTGAGTGTGTGTGTGTGTGTGTGTGTGTGTGTGTGTGTGTGTGTGTGTGTGTGTGTGTGTGTGTGTGTGTGTGTGTGTGTGTGTGTGTGTGTGTGTGTGTGTGTGTGTGTGTGTGTGTGTGTGTGTGTGTGTGTGTGTGTGTGTGTGTGTGTGTGTGTGTGTGTGTGTGTGTGTGTGTGTGTGTGTGTGTGTGTGTGTGTGTGTGTGTGTGTGTGTGTGTGTGTGTGTGTGTGTGTGTGTTGGATAGGTACGAACGTTAAAAAACTCCATACTAATAAATAAAAGATACCATACGTCCCCATGCAATACATGCTATAGTCACTTTGTGACTCCTTATAGGCCGAATCCAAAATTGTGTGGAGCAAGAAGAAAACACCATACACCGATTTCAGAATATTCGGTAAAAAATTACAGGAAATCTGTGAAAAATCACCGAACTGTTTACCGAACGTTCAGCTGTTGAGATTTCGGTAAAATTTCACAGATTTACATGTAGTTTTAACGAAAGTCAAACTATTGTCTTAAGCGAACCCCACAGGGTAAGAAATATTGTCAATACTTAAAAGTATTGACAATAATATTGATGATGTGAATACAGATATATTGTCAATACCGATGTATTGACGTCAATATAAAATGCATTGACAATACGATTATTGTCAATACAAACAGTCGTGTAAAGTCCACTTTAATTCGACACACATTGATATGTGTATTATGGTATTGTTCGATACAAGTAGTTAACCAGCGAAAGATTTGATGAAACTGACACAATTTTCCCTTCTTTATATCAAAGCTCAGTCTTTATGCTCATTACAATCAGATATCAATTTGATAAACCGCCAAATGTCATAACAAGTCATAACCACAAACTTTATCTAGGGTGTTGAACGACTTTATTCTGTTTATGAATATTCAGCAAAGATATTTTTCTCAATTTCATATAGATAAGTTGTAACGAACCCAAGGATCATATTTAAATAGATCGCACAGTGTAAATTGTATCTTTCGGGGAAATAGTTTTCGGGAAAACGTTCCTTTCGGGGAACTGGTTCATTCGGGGAATCGTATTTCGGGGATAAAACTTTCGAGGAACTGGTTTTCGGGGAAAAGTTGTACGATTACCTAAAATTATCGGTTAAAAGTTATCTGTATTTTTTACCGAAAATCGTTACATATTACTTAAAATAGGCTATTTTTTACTATAAATTGTAATTGTGATGTAATTTTTATCGTTAATTATTGGTAATCCATGATTACCGATAATTTAGGTATGTGCACTTTTTTCGATTATCGGTAATTTCTACCGATATTTAGGTATTCTTTACCGACTTCAAGGTATGTGCATCTTAGCGTGTATGAAATTTTCCACTACACACCAAATTTCTTAAATATTGTTCGGTACTTTTTTTGCTGGATTCGTTCTGTAAAATATAATTTTTGCCGAAAGCTTTGTAAAAAGTATTGATTTACCAATTTTCCGCAATCAAAACTGCTGAATTTCCGTAATTTATAGAAATCTACGAAATCTACCGAAAACTGTAAATCAAAATTACTGATCTAAATTGTAAATGGCTGCAATTCCGCAATACTGTAAACATTGTGACGAATGTGCTGTAAACATAATCTTTTACAAAAACAAACAGCAGTAATGTACCAGATTTTTGTAAAAAAAATACAGAACAGCTTTGTAAACTTCACACTGTAAAGCTTTGCTGTCATTTTGAAGTTGAGTGTTCTTCAGCTATCCTTCGTGACTAGTAAGTACGTTACTTTTTTCCTATAATCCGTCCAATTTACGTCAAAAGTATTAATTATATAATTCTTTTTTTTCATTTCTGGGCCAATTGCTTTCAGAAGACATGGACATTAAATGGCCAAATGTCACACACAAACCTCGTCCACAACAGCAAAAAGCGAATTTGTGCACAGTTCGCTGCTGGGTCGCTAACCACGGTCAGGTTCTTACTTTATATACGGACGCACGATGAAAATGTATGTTAATAGATAATAAAAAAATGATTATTCAAATGAATCTTCAGATTTGTTGTTAGAAATGATTAATTAATTAATCAATAAAAATCATGATTAATTCAGGCAAATTAAGTACAGCCAATTCGGTAAAAATTATACCGAACGCTATATTGCATCATTCAGCAAAATTTACAGTCCTGGTCAGTACATTTTGACAGCTCACAAGGGAACAAAATTTACCGAACGAATTGTAAATTAAAAAATTACCAAATAGATTACCGAATGTTCCATATTCGGTAAAAAACTACGGTATACTGTAAAAAAATCTTATTGTGTAGATTTCTATCCAAAAGTAATTTAGTTGTACCTAAAAGTAGGTAAATATGATTTTACTCAACGTTGGGTTCCCACACTTTACTACCCCTGTTGGGTGGTTTTGCTTCTCTGTTTTTGACAATATTAAAAGGAGAAAAGGAGACAAACTAGTCAAAAGTAGGTAAAAGTGAAATGGCCGTACGTGATGAAGTAGCCTACGGCTAAAAATCACGATAATAAATAAAAAAAAACTGGGTACTTTTTTCTAACCGTGTAGTTTACTTAATTTTTGACAACTCCATACAGCATGCAAAAATGAGTGCGATCTACCCAGTCACTGAGTAGCCCCAGAATAGCGTGTTACATTGATTTGATTGCATTTTTAATTATGTTCTGATAAGCGTGTTGCTCCACTAACGGGGTATCCCTCGTGTCAACAGTTTCTATCTGTCAAACCTAAAATTTTTAGGTTTAATATGAAAACAAAAAACATGACCTTTTGATATTAAGATTGAGATTTCTACGCTGGAATTGCGATAATAGGGATATTACAATAGTTCAGCATTAATTAATGTCTTCGGATACTACCAATCAACCAGCGAAAAAACAAAACAATAATGGCAATAAAAGTAAACGGCAGGCTCGAATCTGCCCCGGACGGGACATCTACGAACGGATGAATTTCCTCTATCAGGCTTCGATGATGATGTCTTACTCGGTGCCGGCTCTGTCCGGAAATTACGGGAAGCTGATGAAATCTATTGGTAAAAAGGCCACCCTACGAATGTGAGTGAGTATAATAATATTATGTTCAATTCGAGCATGTTAATTGATATGATGCATTTTTTTTAAATGTACTGAACACTGATCTTTGAATACTGTTGCAAATAACGGTTATTTCTATAATTAATTTTTTTTATTTGTTATTTATAATTCTGGAGTCCTTTTTGATTGGGTCGTATGTAACATTTTTGTCAATTAGAGAAACGAAGTGATTTATTTTGGTGAACAAAAAATTGTTTCTTTTTTCAATGAGATAGATGATTCTTTCAAAATTCTTATTAACTATCATCTCATATCATATTCTTATTAACTATTATCTCTGTCAATATTTTACGACCTTTGGCATGCCGTGGTGCTACATTCGACCGTGCCTATTTTAGTGGTTTAAAATGTTTTATAATGAGTAATATCGCACGGAAAGCGTAGTTATCATTTAATAGACCACCCACAACCGTTTATATTGAAGATTTGCAAAATTTGCACTTTTATTATGAAAACAACAGGTCGTATGTACAGTTTTTACGCTTCTGTAAAATTTGTTACATACGACTAGTAACACCCCCATAGAAGTTAGATGTCGTATGTAACATTGAGCAACGCTATATTTTGGTTAGTTGGCACATACGACACATAGTTTTTTAATGAGAAAATGAAACAGAAATCATGTAGCGAGCCCAAATTTTTGCCATTAGGAAGAGTAAGCAAACCCCCTTATTCTGCGAGTCACGTGACTCTCTGTCACCGGTGAGGTGACAATTGTCACCTCGTGTGAGGTGACTCTCCATGTAAATCAAATGGAGAGTCACCTCACACGAGGTGACTATTGTCACCTCACCGGTGAGAGAGAGTCACGTGACTCGCAGAATAGGGGGGAAAGTAGTGTCTGATAGTTTTAAAATATTAATTTGTTTACGTTTGTTACATACGAACTATTCAAAAAGCACTTCAGAATTTATTGCTACTAAAACGAAAGCCTGTCAGTTATAAAACTATGCATTTTTTTTCGTGCATTTCACTTATGGTGAAATTGATACTCGCCCTTATTTTGCGAGTCACGTGACTCTGTCACTGGTGAGGTGACAATTGTCACATCATGTGAGGTGACTCTCCATGCCATTCAAATGGAGAGTCACTTCACCGGTGAGAGAGTCATGTGACTCGCAGAATAGGAGGAACTATCATCCCAATAGCCTAGTCACTAAAGGCGCGTAGGTAGAAAATGGTATCCTCCCTGAGCATATGGGTGAACAATTACCCATATTCTCGTTTTCGTTCAAACCGTATTTTTATACAAAAAAGGAAAATAAGTTCCGAACGTAAACGAGAATATGATTGATTAATTTACAATACCAAAGGCAATCATGATTAGAAAAGTAAACACTTTTTGTGAAAAATTCGGATAAACAGCTAATAAATGCCATTTCTATTATCAGTATTTCTGAAGATTGGTACTTGCTAATTTTTTGAACTTTTTTTAAAATTCCAAATAACAAATTGAGGATTGAGAACATTTTAACAAGCACTTTCAGCGATTTTAATGATTATATTTTCAATCCAGAGAACCTGCTATCAAGCGAACCATTTGTACCAGATGTGGAGTAGCTCTGAATCCTGGTACGACTGCCAACTATCGCGACTCGGGAGAATTTCCGGAGGAAAAACAAAACTTCGTCCAAGTAGAATGCACCCTCTGTGGCTACAGCAAACGATACTGCAGCATTAAAGGTCACAAAATGCATCTTGATGATCCCAGCTCTGTATTAGAGACGTTAACTTTCGACTAGGACAAAATAAACGATACACTTTTCTATAAAAATATACTCTTTTTATTTCAATCTCAATAATTTACACGGTGAATACAGAGTGTCACATTCAAATCTTTACAGTAAGATACATTATGGCACTTTTCTTCCTATAATTATATTGTTTTTCGTCACCTTTCAACACAAATATGTATAACTGAGTGAACAACAATCACTTGATGAAATAGTTTCCCCCTAAATATCTAGATCTAACAATATTTCTTAGCAACATGATAAGAGCACTCTATCTAGTCATTTTCGTAGTCAGTTGGCGACACGATTGCTTTTTTTTCTTCATTTTCAAAATTCTTCTAGAAGCTTCTAAAAGAAAGCCTCCGGAGAGGCCTCCGGAATCCAAAATCTAGTCATTTCTCGAGAAACAGCCATTGGCAAGGAATGTGTAGAAACGCTTTTGCCTATACTAACTGAGATTGTTCCCTGATCGAGTACCATTTCTCGGGAAACGAGTAGGTTTTCCACCCTCGCCAAATCCTGCGGGATTAGCGCATTTAGTAGTAAACATTTTGGTTAGCGGTTGGTGTTTCAAATTTAACGTTTCGTCTCACTTTTCCTTTTCTTCTAATGTTTTAGTAACTTCAGTCTTTAGCTTCACATATAGAACATAAATTCAAATTAACACAATTCGTTTGTTCAAGCTTACAATCTAATGCATCTACGCGCAGTATTTTTTTTACCTAAAATGTACAAAACAGCGGTAGGTAGTAATAAAGAATAGCTCTTGGAGCAGCCACATGGTACAATAATTAGAACAACATTAATATACGTTTTTTGATAACTATCATCAGGCAAGACTTAAATAGGTTCAAATTAACAATCGTGTGTTGGTGTGCAAGGAATATAAAATCGTGTTTAAAATATTTTACGTTAACAGGATTCGATAGGGATGTGAAATCGTTTCTTGATAATAGGATAAAATCATGGGATTGGGAAAATATCGTTTTCGTTTTAGAGCTCATTGTCGTTGTGTTTTTTTTTGTCTCGTTTGAATTCCCATCATTGGGACAGGCCAAATAACTTGAGCGCGTTGAATGCCGTTGCCAAGCCAACATCTTCGGGCTTTTTGTTCATGAATGCGGCAATCATTTCCACGATCGCCGGTAAGCTACATGGTTCGTTACGTTGAAAGGTACAGTAGCGGTGCAAGTACAGCAGAGATCGTTCGGTGAGGCCAGTTTTAACGTGCTGCGGCAGCTTGGAAGCACGTGTGTTCGGGTACATGAAGGGTGAATCGGTTTCCACCAGGAGACGTTCCAGAGGAAGGCGACCGTCCTCGAGCAGTTTGCGCACTCCCGTGTCGGATTTATCCTAAAAAAGAAAGTGTAAGAGCATTTTTTGTAATGCAAATTTGGATTCAAAATAGGTAGGGTAGATGTAACAGTCATGGCCATTATACGTTTCTACTAAGGTGTGTTCCAATTATGGCATGTGGGAATCTCGTAGGCCATAATTAGAACACACCATAATAGGAACGTTTAGCCATGACTGGTGCATCTATCCTATGCGAAAGGCGGAGCGTACCTTGCAAAGATAACCTGTTAGTGATATGTAGTAATCCCGTTGGAGATATTTCAACGCTTCTTCAGTTGTTCCCATGAAGCCTCTGATGATGATCTGCGGTGTAGGCTGGAATCTGAAAATGAAAGTAATTTTAATTTTAATTACATCAGTTGCTTGAACAAGGTTAAGTTTGTTAAAGTCCTTTCTTCTTACTAGACAGCCTCAAGTAAAATGGTAAAGCTAGTATGATATGATTTTTAACCCTCTCCTTCCCATGGTAGCATTATTATTTAGCTTTATTTAGGAGGCTTTCAGCCTTAGGCTGGTTCGCCTCCAACTCCCATGGTAGCACAGGTGATCCAAAACTTTTCGGTCCGTCTCATGTTTGTCAATCTACCATTAACATATCAAGGAAACGATTTTCTCGACTTGAAAAACAATAAAAATAATTTGTAGGAAAAAGAAAATTTGCTCTAAAAATTCATGTTTTACGAAAAGCATTGTAATGTTATTGAATTTTTCTTGGGTTGTGACAGATTCAGATTCAGCAGCTCAAAATAAAAAAAATATATCAATGCCAACATTTCAAAGGGGCGTAATTGCATTGGTAAACAATGGCTTTAGCCGTCGATTTCTCGCGAATAAAAGCTCACGAATGAAAAATAATAACACCAGCAGGTAGAGGAATGTCTCCTCTACCAGCTAGCATTGCTATTTTGCATAGGTAATATTTCATTCACGAGAAATTGACGGCTAAAGTCATTGTTTACAAAAGCAATTACGCCCCTTTGAAATGTTGGCACTGATATGTTATTTTGCCTAACATTGCATATAGGGGAAATGTAGGTTATGTCGGCCTATATGTCCCTAATTTGGGCCTATACATAAATTCAGCAATCGACTAAATTTTCAATAGCGACCAAAAATATCCATTAGTACCGTCATAATGACGCGTTCATCTAGATAAAATTGATAAATTGCAGACTTTTAGCGATGGGCCCAATCTTAGGTCCCTAGACCAACATTAGAGCCTTTTCCCCTATACTGATTAGTATAAGATTTCGAGGTTAAAAGTTGCACATTCCATCACTTCTCACAATCGAAAAGACCCTATCAGCTTTTGTAAATAAAACTTTCACGTGAATCTAAGCTTGCCTAAGCAAACCATGAAACCACCGGATAGAAGAAATTCTCCCTTCGTGTCTCATATCCTCAGAAACAAAATGAAAAAAACAATTCTGAGGCCTATTTCTTCCAGGTTTTGAAACATGGATATTTCGCTTTTGCCGTTGCCCAGTTGGAAGGAAACTACTAGTGGAGATGTCGGTGGAAATAAAGCTGACGGTTAGATTCAGCTTCGCACATACCAGTGGGAAACCATCTATGGAAGAAATTTCGATGTTGACGCGGATCCCACCCAGACGATCGCTACATATCGCATAGCGGATGTTCATCATCAAGTTTAAATCAGAGAACTCGAAGCTTCATTGTTTGCTACACAACCGTGAGCAATTAATTTTCCAATAAGCCTATAGGAAGTCTGTCGAGGTACGCATGTCGCCTGCTGGGAACACCGTTCAATACGGGAGAGTGTACGACCTCCCACCAGAAGTCCTGGGTAGCGATCTAGCATTGGTGCTATGGAAATACGGTGATGTGAATCGTGTAGTTCGGGAGAAATTTCCTGCTGCCTTGGGCCTCGATATGCTTACAGGTGTGCGGGGGGGTCTATATATGGATGTAAAGAATGAGATTCCCAACTCGCTGCATTTCTTCAATCGAAAGGGGACCATATCATAAAGGTAATAATAAATATAACTATAAAAGAGAGCTTAACGACGTGTTCGGGGTATTATCCAAGCAATTTGTGGGATAGTTTACCCATCCGGGATACAGTTCGTTTATGGTATTTGTTTATTAGGGAACTCTAAGACCAGAAGGTCCCGAAGAAACGTGCTCAACTTTTTGGCTCAGCTCTGGTACTATCTTCGGTCCCAAGCTAATCGATGCACCCCTCGCAACATAGGAAAATCCACGAATCCCTCATTTTATCTGTCAAACTTTCATAGCGAATCAAAACAAACATTTTGTAGTAGTAGAATTTTGACTAGAATGGGGTACGTTAATCGATTTTCTCGGGAGCAATAGACTAGTCAAGTAGTGATCCAATTTAAAATAGTTAGTTTCGTATTAATTGTTGGTACAACCATAGAGGTAACTCTAAGACCAGAAGGTCCCGAAGGAACGAGCTCAACTCTTTGGCTCAGCTTTGGTACTATCTTCGGTCCCAAGCTAATCGATTCACCCCTCGAAACATAGGAAAATCTACTAACCCCTCATTTTATTTGTCAAACTTTCATAGCGAATCAAAACAAACATAGCGTAGTACTGGAATTTATACTAGAATGGGGTACCTTAGTCGGTTTGCTTGGGACCAATAGGCTCGTCAAGTAGTGAGCCAATTTAAAATCGTTAGTTTCGTATTGATTGTTGGTACAACGGTGTTCTTTGTACATCTGTCGAAGGTCTTAAATGCAATTGCAAAAGTTATATGACACCTTGCCGGGGGCTTGGTATCTTTACATTTGAAAGATGCACACTAGTGATGCCAGTTGTGATGTAGCGGACCAAAAGTTTGTTGGAATTTAACTACTAGCCAAAATTAAATAATTGTTTTTCTAAATAAGTATGCAATGCGAGGGGTGCGACACATCTAAATCTCGATTTTAAATGGTCGAAAAATCTCACACTAGCGCATCATTTTAGAAAAATCTTTTTTCATCTCTTGCATCTAAACCCATCTACTCGCAGCGCCCTCAACTTTTTTGCAGGAAATCTTCAAAATCATAATACATCGTGTTTCTATCTATTAAGCGCGAGTGCATCTCACAACAGCAAAGCAGAAAATTTCCTGCATCGTAGATAGAGTCGCCCCCCTCGGTGCAATGGCTGCAAAATTTTGTATTTGGTTCAAAACTTTTGGAATGCGACATCACACAGGTAGGTACTACCTTTGAATTTTGCTTGATCCAGTGGCGATTTTCTTTGCTTTAGATCAAGACGATGAAGTTTTGAAGAAGGCAACGATATTAACTATCTGCACGCTGGAGCAACATATAGCCATGATAGAGAGATAGAACATCATTTTATTTTCATAAAAACAGAACCATCAACAGATCATCAGGAAAGCCCTTCACTGATAAATTCAACTAATCCCATTTTGCTTGAAATTTAATCAATTTGACATTAAACTCAGTTTAATCGTGCTATTAACCAATTCAATCTTAAGCAAACATTTGGCAGATTTTCCAAACAGGAACGATATTAAAAGTAAATCCAAGTTGAAGCTTGCCGCTATTACACTCAAAAAATTTATCACATATCTAATGGATGAAATCCATGTGAATTTCACATAGCTTTTCTGTGATCACATAGCAGCAAATCCCACCACAAAATCACATGAATATTATGAGGTCGGTGAAATTCATATGAAAAATCACATACAATTAATGTGATTGCATTAATGTTATGTGTAATTCAGATGAATTCCATTAATTTTGATTATGGATGAAAATCATGTGCGTTTCCAATGGAAGCTACATGAAAACTTTTTTCGGTGTAATGTATTCGGCGTAAAACGTACTAACATGATTTGATGCAAAAGCGCACTTTTATGACCGATACCGCACTTCCAGCACTTCTTTGTTCATTTTGGAGCGAAATACGCAATATTAAAACTATACAGATATTCATACAGATTTTTCGAAGATACGCAATATTAAATACGCATTTAAATATTAAAACTATACAGATATTGATACAGATTTTTCGAAGAAGAAATACAGATGAAAAGATTTTTATAAGCAAAAATACAGATTTGCTTTTGGCAACCCTGGCGCAAGGCACGATGTAAAAGAAAGTAGTCGATCGGCGGATTATTGGCAAAAGGTGGCTAATAACCCGCATAAACGCGAACCATAAATTGACCTTACCTAAAATGGTTAAAAATTGTTTATAATCCCTGCTAAACTTTAACTGAAATGGTTATGGAACTTTACATGAACGTTTGTGTGATAAAGTTTTAACCTTATGTATTATGGTTTTTTGGAAGCGGACCTTACAAATAATGGGTTGTTAAGAACCATTACCATTCCAAAATTCTTGTTTTCTCCATACATTTTCGGAAAGAGAACTATATTAGAAAGTTTTTACTTATGGTTTGAGAACATTAATGGTTATGGTTATGGTAGTCAGTAAGGTCCATTAATGGTTTTGTATTATCGCTCAACTTTACGTGCAATATATCGTGAATTGGTAATCAGTAATTTACAGGCAACCAATTCGCGATATATTCCACATAAAGTTGATCGATGTTATAAAACCATTCGTGGACCTTACTGACTACCATTACCATTACCATTAAAGTTCTCAAACCATAAGTTAAAAGGTTCTAATATAGTTCTCTTTCCGAAAATGTATGAAGAAAACAAGAATTTGGAACGGTAATGGTTCTTAACAACCCATTATTTGTAAGGTCCAGTTCCAAAAAACCATAATACATAAGGTTGAAACTTTATCATTAAACGTTCATGTAAAGTTCCATAACCATTTCAGTTAAAGTTTAGCAGGGATTATAAACAATTTTTAACCATTTTAGGTAAGGTCAATTTATGGTTCGCGTTTATGCGGGAACTGATTCGAGTTTGAAACAGCCACGACAAGATTGTTCACTGTAATGGTGGAATCAGAATACGAAGACTCGGAAGATTTTAGAGCGATGATCAACTGAACATCCCGAATTTCAGAGGTTTCTCTAACAACGAGGAATATGTTTTCCCAGGATTCGTCTAATGCCTTGTTCAGACTGGAGCGTTATAACAACAATCAATTCGAAACTAACGATTTTAAATTGGCTCACTACTTGACTGCCTATTGGTCCCAAGCAAATCGATTGACGTACCCCATTCTAGTCAAATTTCCAGTACTACACTATGTTTGTTTTGATTCGCTATGAAAATTTGACAGATAAAATGAGGGGCTCGTAGATTTTCTTATGTTTCGAGGGGTGAATCGATTAGCTTGGGACCGAAGATAGTACCAAGCTGGGCCAAAAAGTTGAGCTCATTTCGTCGGAACCTTCTAGTCTTAGAGTTACCTCTATGGTTATAACATGTTATAACGGTTGTCAAATAATTGCAACACAGAAACCACCATCAAGATAGTGCTATAACGTGTTATAACCATAGAGTTAACTCTAAGACTAGAAGGTCCCGAAATAACGTGCTCAACTTTTTGGCTCAGCTCTGGTACTCTCTTCGGTCCCAAGCTAATCGATTCACCCCTCGAAACATAGGAAAATCCACTAACCCTTCATTTTTTCTGTCAAACTTACATAGCGAATCAAAACAAACATTGTGTAGTAGTAGAATTTCGACTAGAATGGGGTACGTTAATTGTTTGCTTGGGACCAATAGGCTAGTCAAGTAGTGAGCCAATTTAAAATCGTTAGTAATTGTTGTTATAACTCTGTAGTCTGAACGTACTATAATCAGCATCATAATAATATACCATCGCGCTATTGTCAAACTCTTTGATGGTAAAATCAACTCCTTACTTTTTACCAATCTCGATCATTATCAACAGGTAAATATTCATTTTATTCAATTAGTATATTATACTGTCATTACTGTTCATACTATCATTGCAACCAACTCATTTAGGCACATTCAATTGACTTGCATTGGGTTATTATTTTGCATACAATGATATGGGAAAAGGGGGGACTCACAATTCAGCATGGAAAGTGTTTGGGTGCCGTTCTAGGGGTTGTTTGGGGCATGTGGTTCATTTTAGACATTATAGTTTGACGTGCTTACCATGATCAACTTACGTTCTGGAATGTGGCCTTGAGACTTGAGATTTGGTCCTCATAACCCCCTTCTGTCTCGTAAAATTTAAATCAAAAATCAAATCAAAATTTTGTTGTTGATGTACAGCAAAAAGCAATTTTTTTCCGTAATGTCTGCAATGTATATATCATTTTCTTGCAGCATATTTACAGTAAAAGCATTAAAGCAAGTCCTGAAATAGAACTATTATCGATATTCGGGCCTGGATATTGGATCCTTCCCATCGGTCGGTAAAGGCACAGCTATAAAGCCCCGGTACGTTCTATGAATATTGCATTTGCCTTATAATACTAATGCAAAAATGATACAGGCTTAAAAAGCTCTCAATTCACAATTATGGAAGTGCTGAAAGAACACTAAGTTGAGAGCTGGTGCAAAGTCCCAACGGGGACTACCAACCAATTATGGATTTATATATTGTGTGGCAAACACAACGATAGTATGATAGGGTTACGGTATGTAATGTGGGTCTAGTCCTTTCATTCGGCCTATCACGCAAATAAATAATTAATTAAGGAATATTACACAAAAAATAAGGAAAATATTGATCACTGATGGTTGATAAATGTGTACCACACACAAATCAATTTATATCACAACATTTCAATACATTTTCAGCTCTCGTAAGTAATAAAACTGGTTGAGAATATCACAATGTTCGGAGTTTTTAGCCGCCATGACTTATAAGGTTAAGATGGGAAGGTTGACTGACGATCATCAAATGGCCTGATTATGGCATTTATTGATTGGAATTACCTGATAATACACACTAGACGTAAAACTTACAGTTGCTGTTTGAATATTTTATGTTTATTTTAATTGTTTAACAACGTTTTCACAAGTAAAACATGGACCCAACTTTAGGGACACATTTCTTTTCTATGTTCCTAACTATGGCCCATGAAATTCATTTGACAGCATATAGCAATAAGAGTAACGTCAACAATGTTGTTTTGCATTTGGATGATAAGGAACGAACAGGAAGGGAGATTTTTTCTGCCAAACCTGTATAATGAACATCACAATGTTCTGATTTAGATATTCTGCGGTCAAAAGACGATAAGCGAAATTTTTAATTTTTAATTTTTAAATTGAGTGATTTAATGTAGTTTTCGTAAAATTTTCTCTAAGAAATGTTTTGAGGAATGAAGAGCATTAAGTTAACAGTGATAGTGATAAAAAAAAATACATCAGAAAACGTTACCAAGAGCGTTTTTTTGAGGATCAAACAAGATAGGACGAAGTTGCATCCATAAATAGACCCAATTTGGGGACAATAGACCCATATTACATACATTTCCCTCGTGAGTTATTGTCTTAAAAAAAGTAAGTTTTTCAACTTTTCGTGGTTTCTGATAGCAAACGACATGATAAGCATATCTAAGCATACCATTTAGCAGTAGAATATCGTTTGCAGGTAAATTCATTGATGAGTTATGATTAAAAACGTAATCGATGGCTGCATATTAGACCGAGGTTAGGGACGTATACCCTACATCCCGAAAGATTTTCTAGACTGAACCGGAAATCAAAGATTCCTAATCCTATTTTACAAAACAGTTCACAATAAAAACATTGATAGTATACGAGCAAAATTAAAAATATTGTCCCTGGAACGTCAAAAATTCGGTCCCTAAAAGTTTTCAATTTCAAAACACCATCCCTAATCTTTTAACTGGATGATTAGAAAATGTAAGAAGTACCTAAAAGAAAGCCGAGCGTTATCGTTTTGATAGGCCGGTGGTATATATTCTACCTACAAATAATTAATGAGTCACAAAACAAACCAACCGATCATTACTCAGCGATAACGCTGAGCCGATTTCCTAATAAGAGTATACACTAGGGTGTGTCAACTTTACAATCCACTGCTCTACCGATTTGTATTGAGGTCCCCAAAAACTGTTCGAAATTTGACAAAAGTCGAATCGATTTGCGGTCTTCAACAAAGTTGGTCTGCGTAGTTTCCTCAATCTAAGTTTTAAGTATTTTGTGAATTCTCGACAAGCAAATTCATATTTTCTAACGATTTCCCATGCTAACTTTAAAATGGACCCACAAATCGAAATCGCAACAAAATTCGATTAAATTTGGCACAGTTAAAATACGAATCCAAAAATCAGTGGGGAACAGGTGGTTGTAATCTGCCATATTACCTTGACCCACCATTCTATACGCATTCATAATCTACTGATACGTGCATCTACTCACTTCGAGAGTATTTCCAACACATCCTCCTGGGCAGATCGTTCGTGTATCAGTATGGGTTTCTGCAAGCTGCAGGCCAACTTCAGTTGTCGCTCGAAGATTTCCTTCTGGGTGCACGGTTCGCTGAAGTCCCGCTGGTAGTCGAGCCCGCACGGTCCAATTGCAACGCACTCCGGTGCACCGGCAATTACCTCAAAGTCGTGCCACGTGCTCGGTTCTTCGATGATTGATTTCGAATCATGTGGATGGATTCCCGCCGTCGAGTAAATGATGCCTGGGTAGATACGCGTCAGACGAAGGGCCTCCTTGCTCGATTTGACCGACGTACCTGGTACCATGATCTTTTGGACGCCTGCAATTGAGATGGAAAGGGAATATATGTTGCGATGCTATTACACTTGACATTGATTTTTTTTTATTTATAGCTAAAACCGTCGAACAAGAAGTGAAATTTTGAAGGAGTAGATATAAGTGCTACGTAGCATAGCAGCTGCGTGTTGATAACATAATTTGCGTCTGCATGAATGTTAAAATTAAACTTGATTAATTGCGTGCGACGCGTAACCCGCTTAACCATGCTGTTCAAGTAGTAGCACATGTTTCGTGCCGAGAAAATCTGATACATTATGTGTAACAGTCGATGTTCGTTTGTTTAGCTTTACAATGTAAATATGTTTTCTTATTACCTCGCCAAAATAGATATCGAAATCATAATTCGCATTTTCGTTTATTTGATTCTAGCTCCTTCCATTCGACAGTAAAAGTAGTCTAGACGGGGAAAACTGTTCAAATGCACTCCTCACTTGCACACCGCACATAGGAGCCTGAAATACGAATAATGTGTCTATTTTTTGCCATTAGTCATGGAATAAGGCAAACGAACAAAAAATCGAAACAGCACTGCTGCAAAAATCAATGCCCTCGGTTTGTTGCCTTTTTTCCACTGTTTGCCATTGCATTAGTGTACAACGTGCAATATAAGGCATAATATGCAAATCGTAACGTGCATTAGAATTAATATAGGTAGGTACGGAAACAGACGAGAAGATTTGCATGTTTGCCGGAATTGTTTTTTCGATGTTAGATTTGATCCAACCTTTTCCACTTCATTAATTCTGCCGGAAGTTTGAATACCATTGCAACAAACGGCTGGCGTGAATTGAGGTTTGTTGCATCGCCGAGAACCACCTGTTCTTGTTCGTGCAAATTTCGACCACCAAAATTTACACCTTTTATTTGTTTTTGTAGGTACGTAGGGGAAATGGATGTAATGTCGGCCTATGGATCGTAGATTGGACCCATCGCTAAAAATCTGCTATTTATCAATTTTATCTAGATGAACATTGGTACGGTACTAATAGATATTTTTGGTAGCTATTGAAAATTTAGTCCCTTTAGTGCTGAATTTATGTGTGGGCCCAAATTAGGAGCATTTAGGCCGCCATTACATCCATTTCCCCTATATGTTACATGGCATATAGCGACACACTGAAACACCCTTCAACCACCATTAAAACCAATTTTTCGATTTTTTCTGGCAGCACTGCCTTTGTTTTTGTTGATTTTTTTTCTCAAGAAGACATCTACCTCCAGGATTCCACGAGGATTCCACAGAAAACTGATCGGGACATGGAAGTAACACTCACTCCCGCAATTGGGACATTAAAAAACAGACAATTTAGCCTCTAGAACAAGCTAGAATATCTGCAACTGTGTATGAATGAAGGAGCGGATAATAATTATCACGTCAAATATTGACTGATATCTGAAGAGAGATATTTCTATCTAAATAATAATAATTTGAGCCAAGATCTCAAGCATGAGAATTTGACGGCTGAAGGAGTACTTTTTGAGATCGGAGTCGGACATATACAGCACACTCTTTTAGATAGGTGATGCGCATGACGATCAGGCATGAGAATTTGAGTTCTTGTAATGTAAGTCGTTTACGCTGACGTGTGCTTTTTACTGGAATTCCATGCTTACACTGTACATTATTAAATTGTTTTTTTTTTAATTATTATCATTATAGTCACTTTAACACTCTTGGGTCATTCGTGACTTGTCCGGGGGTGAGATTTGAACTCGTGACTTTGGCGTGAGAGATATGGATGTAAACCACTACGCTGGGGTCGCCCCCTATTGAATTGGTAAATTTTTAGCAAAGGGCCTCCCTTAGCTCAGTCGGTAAAGGCGCAGCTACAAAGCAAGACCATGCTGGAGGTGGCTGGGTTCGATTCCCGGTCCGGTCTAGGAATTTTTCGCGTTGGAAAATTTCTCGACTTCCCTGGGCATAGAAGTATGATTGGACTTGACACACAATTATACCAATGCAAAAATGGTACAGGCATCGAAAGCTCTCAATTAATAACTGTGGAAGTGCATCTAGAACACTAAGATGAGAGCACGCAATAAGCTAATATGCGATATGCAATAAGCTTGAAATGCGAAGAAGAAGAAGAAGAAAAAAATAGATTCTGTTCGTAAACAAATGTGGTTGCCAGTAATCATCGATTTTCGCTCAACGTTTTGACAGCTAGGTCGACATTCAGGCTCTGAACCATTTGGTGGATTATTTTAACTTTTGGTTAAAATTTGACAGATGGAAAGTTATCGATTAACCCTGCTATCCGAGCATGGTTATTTCTGACAGACAAGAAGTTAAATTTTGACAACCGTGGCTCGAAAACCGGTCGAGCGACAGCACAGGGATTTTCGAACATAGAAAATAACTTTCGAAATGTCACTTTTAACCACGAGTTAAATTTAACTCGGCAAATGGTTCACAGCCTCAGAAACACGCATAAACACTTTCCGACACCCAAAAACACACAAGAAACACAATCAACACAGGCACAAGGTAGCAGAGTAACTTACCCCCTGATTCTAGCACTTCCATAAATATTTGAACTCTGGAATTATCATGTTCTTTACTATCCTATGTAAATTTTATGATTCTAGTTGTTTCAGGTATTATTTATTATTGAATTAGTGGAAATCGAATTTAGATATTAAAACAATGAAAATCTGAAAAAATTAGGATCCATTATGCAACCAAATCAAATCGACTTTTTCATATTCTTTGGCTCAAGCAATGGAAATATTTATCTTATTTGACAAAACCCAGGTTATGATGACGTTTGATTATTGAATACAATTTGAATGAAGAAAAGAGACCTACTGGTGCCCTAAGAGAAAAAATGAGAAAATAGGGGGCCTTTTTTGAACCAATTTTCTGTCAAACGGGAACGAGCGTCTGATTGTTCGGGTGAACCAGAGTCGATGTTATAATAAGAGTCCCGCCAAGAGAAAATGTTGCGAACAAGCACCACTGTTTGTGATTTATTTTTCGTCAGAGTAAACGGCAACCAGATTTTTTGCGTTAGCATCGGATGACTTTCATTCAGGAGTGAAAAATTTCATGTCGATAACGGAGCTTCTGGGAGAGAATCACAATTATAGAACCTGTGCTTGGTATAACTTATAAATATCACAATGTACTAAATAAAGCGAAGAAATGTTTTTCATCTAAATTTACTAAACAGTGATTAATGCATTACTTGTAGTTGGCTGTGGGAACAATAATGTTTATTCACTTTGCTTGTTTGGTACCCCGTTTGGCAGTTCGATTGGTACTTCTGGCTTCACTTTTGACGGGACTCTTATTATAACATTGGCTCTGGGGTGAACGTATAGAAACCAGTGTTGGGAAAATATCAAAAAATCAAATCTGACCAACGCCCAAGATCACGCTTGATTTTCGTAGACAAAAATCAACAAGCAGCTCGGAATATCAAGCTAACAAAACTCATCAACTGCAAATCTCACCAAACTGTGGTGAGATTGAATTTAATGATTTTTGCTTTACATCCGAATGTAACCGAAACTTCTATAACGGCTTGCAGCAGTCCCTTCACGTCTGCCACCGGTGAAGATTAAAAAGAGATAGCAAACTATGCTTTCTCTTTCTAAGAAAACGATGTGCAATGGAATCATTTTTGTATCGAGTCAACTCTCAGCTTGATTTCTGCACGTTGTGAATAGTCTCGCTATAACAAAGGAGCTTGTAAAATCAATATCAAGTATAATATTTTGTTCCAATATCACGCGTAATATTGCGAGAGCATGAGAGCGGAAAAATATCAAATGATTTCTGATTTTTGCCAACACTGATAGAAACGCGAGAATTTTTACAACAGGGAATCTATTTTCTTGTATTTTGACAGTCGACTGCGTCGCCCATAATGAAATAGTTTTTGCACAGTCGTTTCCGCAAGAGAAGAAGAACACGTCACAGACAAAAAGAAGCCAGTTGTCTCCTCTTCCCAGGCTTGCTGAAACTTCTCAAACTCACTGGAGGTTTTAAAACACTCTTGTTCTGCGAGTATAGCCAGCCCTCACCTCAAGTCAAGAACAACATGTGAAAAAGGCATATAAGCTTTTTATAAACTAACCGTCCTATAGTTGAAGATGCTAATTTCAAATAACAGACTGTTGTGGTAATTTTTATACGATAGATGGAGTAGATGAAAGCATAGAGTTGATAGTTCCGTTAGAGTACGGCAGTGTGAAGATTGTATATAGATATTAGAATAGCGAACTAGGACAACTTTTAAGGAAGGTACAAATCGGTTTTTTCATCTCTCTTTACCAAACTCCCCCTTTGGAGAGGGATGTCTATAGTCTTTTCTCGCCACCCATATCACACCAACGTAAGCTATCAACATCACCGAGTAGGGCAAACTTCCCCCTTCCCGATGATGTTGTTTGTTTGCCTGGGTTACTCTAGGTTTGTTTACAAAAAGCTTGTATGCCCTTTTCACATGTGGCTCTTGAAGTGAGTGGTGACAGGAATATGACAGAAGTAAACAAAAACTCCTCGAGAGATAGGGGAGTGAACTTCAGCGACGTGAGGTGCGCTTTTCGAAACTCCAGATGACTTTTTTGTTCGACGCAAGAAGCTCAGAGTTCACCCAGAGTGAGAGAAAATTTTCATTACGTCGAAAGTATCAAAGGTAAACAAAATCGAGCTATCAGTGTGAATCGATGCTTCTGCTATTACACTATATACTGTCCGAATATAGGATCACACCCCATTTTAAATTTATTTACCAGTCAAAATGCTTTTTGACGTAATCACCTTTCGATCAAAATATTTTTCAATGTTACTTAAGTTACCCGGTTTCTATGGAGATGCCGTTTGTCTTAAGTAACAGAGCAGAAAAACCCGTGAAAAGTGTAAATTCGTCGTTTCGCTTTCTCAAAGTGAATAAATCGAACTGTTTGTTGCTGAGATGATTTGGATGGTCTTAAAATGATGAAATGTCAAGCTGTCAAATCAGCCTACTGATC